CCCAGCTAGGAATCTGAATTAAAATAAATATTTACAGTTATAATAGTCGACATTTGTAATTTTCACGTAGTATTAAAACTTAAAAGTAAAATAATAATAACCYAACTAMCAATGATATTGTTTTTAGCAAAATATACTGTGATAGTGAATTCATGCATGACGTCGCACTGTCTCAGATTTATCCTGATTCAAAAACTTTTGTGGATAAGAAACTAAAATACAATGAATCTGTCATTTTATACAAATACAAACAGTTTAAAGATAGCTTCAACGGTGCAGTGCCGCCAAAAGAAAATTTAACCAAATTTGTCAAYGAAAATTTAGAAGACGGTGACGAGTTGGAGATATGGACTCCTCCCGACTTTACTGAATCTCCTTCGATCGTGAACCGGATTAAAGACAAGAATTACAAACAGTGGGCATTGGGATTAAACCAAGTATGGAAAACCCTAGCGAGGAAAGTTAAAGAAGACGTGAAATTACACCCTGACAGGTACTCATTGATATGGGTTCCAAATGGGTTTGCCATACCTGGAGGCCGATTCACGGAACTTTACTATTGGGACACGTACTGGATTGTTAACGGAATGTTATTATGTGACATGTCGTCGACAGCTAGAGGCGTTATCGAAAACATATTATCGATGGTAGATCGATTTGGTTTCATGCCGAATGGAGGACGAGTGTATTATCTGAATAGATCACAGCCGCCAATGGTGACATTGATGGTATCAAGCTACTACAAAGCAACCAATGACTTTGAATATGTAAAAAAAGTCATCTCTGTAAGTTCAATCAATAAATATCGTATAAATAATAATTACGATATGAAATTGTAGTCACATCATGACGAACAATTATTGTTTTAGTCCTTAGATAATGAATACAAATTTTGGCTGGATAACCGAATGGTTACTTTCGAGAAAAATGGCAAATCGTACACAATGGCAAGATACTACGCACCGTCGAAAGGTCCAAGACCAGAGTCTTATAGGTTCGTATAATTTAATAGGCTTATAACTGCAGTGACTTAAGTATTTATATGTTTATGCAGAGAGGACTACGAATCAGCAGAAATATTTAAAACTGAAGACGAGAAACAGGAATTTTATACCGAAATTAAGTCTGCGGCAGAGACTGGATGGGACTTTTCAAGTAGGTGGTTTATAACTCCCGATGGCTCGGATCGTGGTAAGTACTTTTATTGCTTAAATTAAAGAAACAACTGTATACGGGTTATTCGACGTTTATGAAATACAGGTAAATTGGCTGACATAAAAACGAAGTTTATAGTACCAGTCGATTTGAACAGTATACTACAAAAGAATGCAGCGCTGTTGAGTACATGGTATAGCAAGATGGGAGATACAGCTAAAGCCGAGAAATATCATGCAATTTCAGAGAAGCTTCTCTACAGTATACAAGAAGTATGATAGATTATATTCTTTGATAATATTCCATTATTCCGTACACGCGTATATTAATTGTTGAAAAAAACATTTCATAATACATCAATTGTTTTAGGTTATGTGGAGACCAGACCTGGGGGCGTGGTTTGACTGGGACATGTTGAACAATAAAAGTCGAGAATATTTTTTCGTTTCCAATATCGTTCCTCTGTGGACGGAAAGCTACAGCATGGCGAAAAAGGCTGTAGCTAGTTCAGTGTTGGGATATCTAAAAAATAACCATATTATTGAAGCGGATTATTCTGTGATTTTCAATGGTACATTGTTTTTCAGTAACSAACTTTTTTTTGTTGAAGAATTTATAAGATTTTTAAACTCAAMTTGTTTATAACTATATATAAGTAACATCTGCAAACACGCGATATACTAAAATTGTATATCATCAACGCATTGCKGTCATTACTGATACTCAATATAAGTACATTATGAAAAACAATGTTATTGTTACTATTCAGGAACACCTACGTCTTTGTACAATTCATCACAACAGTGGGACTTTCCAAATGCATGGCCTCCTTTACAAGCTTTCATCATCCAAAGTCTTGACAAGACACAACAGAAACTTGCACAGCAGGTGGCATTTAAATTGGCTGAAGTTTGGTTACGTTCAAATTATAAATCATTCGCAGAGAAATCAATGATGTTCGAAAAAGTATGATTACAACATAGTATTATACCATTTAATTCATAGGTTTATAATTTTAAATGTTAACCTAACTTAAAAATTGTYTTTTAGTATGACGTTCTAGCTTCGGGAGAAACTGGTGGAGGTGGTGAATATACTCCGCAGACAGGTTTTGGTTGGACAAATGGAGTCGTGTTCGAGTTCTTAAATCGATGGGGTGATACAGTATCTAACGGGACAAACGGTAATATGGCGTTTCGAAAGTATTAGATGTATAAAATGAAAAACTTTTATCCTATTTGGATAAATATTTTAACAATCTTAATGTAATTTTGTAATAATAAAAGTCTWTATTATAAAATCTATAACTATACTGAATAGCAGGTAAMAAAAAGTTTATAAATTGAAAATTAACAGTAAGTGAAACGTAAGCAAGTTTTTGTTATATCTACATAAAACGAACCAATTAACCCAGTACCCCAGTAATAATAATTATTTTTTGCCATATTCAAAGGCGGCATTTTTTAATAAAATGCAAATTTAAAAAAAAAATGCGGCATCAACTTATTGAAAAGTTAACTTTTTTACTAAAGGATGTCAGACACTGTCGGTGCTAATTTTTCCAATTTTCCGTAATTCTATACAAATTTGAAAATTATATTTTATATTTTAGTTGGTATCCTAATTATAATACTTTTCTACTGTCTCGATACCTATATTATATCGAGAAAAATAATTTCACCGGAAAAACTCTCACGTCTCATAAATTGATAATTTTTTTATTTAAATGATAACAACTTTTTTCTAGTCAGAAAAATAACAACTATTGTGATTTATTAAAATGCTATTTTTAATTCTATAATTATAATTTTGAAAATCGGGCTTTGATGCAACCTCCAAAATATTCTCTTTTTTAAATAATCAACGAAATCGTACTATAGGACTACATAAAGTTGTGAGAGATAATCCTGTAAGACATGTTTATTTTTACTAAAAACGTACCGCCTCCGACACCCTTAAATAGTTAATTTTCTAATAAACAAAATAATGCTGTATATAACAAATATATTTTAGTAAATTAAATAGGCYGCCATAGGTATAATATTTTTATTATATTATATTATATCTTTTAAATTGTCTTATATGCTTACAATATTCAGTATATTTACTGACTCCGTTGATTAAATAAATAGCATCCCMAAAGTTTTTATGAATAATTACAAAGGAAAAATGTTTAAGAATWAAATGAGGTAAACTCAATATTAAAACAATATTTATTAACTGTGTTTAATATTGTGACACGGATTAAGTTTAGTCTTAATTTATTCGATTTGTGGAAAAACAGCTTAATAATATCTGGTAATATGGTATCGTTCAAGAAAACATTTTATTTTACTATCTACTTGCACCGAATGTGCTTGAAGTGTCCGAAATATTGACGAAATGATTGAATAAACGTAAATCWGGTTTTGAAAAATGATGTTTTTGTATTTTTAGGATGTTCTTCCGGTTATAGTTACTTGTGTGATTTCAATAGGATCAGACAACAATTAATGTTTTGGACAAATAAAAAATGATATGAAAGAAAAATGGGTATATTTTTGTCCATTAGAATTCACCAATATAA